CAGACTCTCCAAGGCTGAGACAGTCTCCCGAGAATGGCAGTGGCCCCTTGTTTACACGTTACAATCAGAAGAGGGGACGTGAGTGGGTCACATGAAATCCAGGGGTGACAGGTTGGGGGGGAGCAAAGCGGGGAAACCTCTGGGCTTGGACAGAAAGTGAAGTGACGGACACACTTCTTTTACTTAGGTGGGTGCAGGACAGTTGACTCAATACGAGGAGGGGACGGGGGTCTCCGCAGAGCGCAGAGCGGTGCCTGAGCTTTGAGGGGTCCGGAAAAAGGAAAATTGCTCCGACATTCCCATGATATGTTACCACAGATGGAAAAAGACAATAGACAGGCTCAGTTAGGGTAAAGACGGACCCTTGTCAGGGAAGATGCCGGCCTGGGACATGACTACCCGCCACAAATGCCTTTTTGATTCAAAAAGTTTTGCCTTCAGGCCATGCTGGTGGTTACTTTAGGTCTCTGAGTTTGCAAGTCCGCCTCGCAGGGCCCCCTGAGCTACCACACGGCCCCTTTACATCCACATACCCTAGACCCCTTAAAGCAGGAATTCTGTGGGTAAAAACCCAGCTTAAAGCCTGAAGCTACTGCCTTAGCTCAAGGAGTATTTGCTTGGATATTGCAGGAGCAGGGCGTGCTCTCGAGTCCAGGAAGATGCAGTTACCCCCCTGGCCACAGTGGCCCGGCAATCCTGATAGCCTGACTCCTTAGGGAACAGAGCCGGGGTTAGCATTGCTACAGGAAAGGCCTCAGCCCAGAGCTGGTAGTTTCCAGGGAAGTTCAGAAGAATCAAACAGGCAAGGAGAAAGTACTTGTAAACAATAGCTCTAAGCCAATTCCAAAGCCAGGACAGGAAGATTAGGTTGGTCCAAATAGCTCATCTAGAGAAAGAAATGCTGGTTTCCACCAACAACAACTTTAAAAAGAACTTTTCTTAATATAACGAACAAAACAAACTGAAGAACGAAAGAGGTCCAGAGACACGGAAGCAAGGATCAGACTGAGGGATCTGGGGGCAGGGTGGGGGCTGGGAGGAGGGGCAAGGGGGGAAATGGTGATGGAAGGAGACTTGACCTGGGGTGGTGAACACACAATACGTATGCAGACGATGTGTTGTAGGATTGTACACCTGAAACCTATATGATTTTGTTAACCAATGTCATCCCGGTAAATTCAGTAAAAAAAATTTTTTTTAAAAAAGAGATAAAATAGTGGGAGAAAACAAACTATTTCAAAAATGAAGGCAGATTTGGAAACAGCATGAAGGAGTATAAACCATTGTTAAGGAAAAAAATAAAAATAAATACTTTTAAAGAGTCATGGAAAAATTAAGAAAATTAAATCTGAAAAAGAAAAAAAGGAAGTTTATTAATTTTTTAAATCTTTACTCAAGGCTATTTTTTCCACTGCTTTTCAGAGAGAGAGGAAGGCAGAGAGAAAGAGATCAATATGAAAGAGACACATCAATTGGTTGCCTCCCAAACATTCCCTCACCAGGTCCTGGGATCAAGCCTGCAACCAAGATACCTGCCCTTGGCCAGAATCGAACCCAGGATCCTTCACCCCATAGGCTGACGCTCTAACCACTGAGCCAAACCAGCTAGGGCAAAAGACAGTTTATTGAAGGAAATAGCTATGCACAAGAAAACACTTGGGCAGCCCCAACCTCCAGCAAGTGAGTCCATCAGAATTTAGTAATAACTTTCACTTTCAAAAATTCTGACTGAGAGCTGTCAGAGGGGAGCTGGGTTGCAGGGCTGGGGTGAAAAAGTGAAGGGATTAAGGAAAAAAAACCCCAAACCCCTAATATTCAAAAGTAACTGTAAGATCAGTAAACTGTGCAAACTGAAGATGCTTATTGCCCAGCCGGCGTGGCTCGGCAGTTGAGCATCGACCTAGGGTCCAGGAGCTCTTAGTTCAGTTCGATTCCAGGTCAGGGCACATGCCAGGGTTGCGGGCTCGATCCCCAGTGGGGCGTGCAGGTGGCAGCCGATCAATGACTCTCTCATCACTGATGTTCCTATCTCTCTGTCCCTCTCCCCCTCCTTCCTCTCTCTAAGATCAATAAAAACATATTTTTTAAAAAAATAATGCTTATTTAGGTATGGTAGATGGGAAAGAGAAAGGTGAGTGAAATGTTTTCCCTTTCATAATAGCTATCATGAAAGAAACAGGGTTTATAATAATTTTACTCACTGGTGAGAGAGAATCATTTTTATAATTGATTGAATAATAAATTAACTCTCTTTAATAGAAAAAAGTAATACATATATTTTAAAAGTTTTCTTCTCCATATTCCAAGTGAGAATTATCATTTATCTGAGGCTCTATCCAATTTAAAACTTTACACACAAAGAGTAGGCCACAGTGCATCCAAACTGGCATTTTCAATATTAGATTCAATTTTTATTTATGTTGCTGTTGGCACTATTTCAGACTAACAGAAGCTTTTCAGACACGAAATGTCGCATCTTTACGCTCCATCTCACTTAACCCCACCTGTGTCTGTGAACACAGCCGAGGCCCCATGCTTGCTTTCTCTTGCCACTTATAGGCCTGGGTTTCTACCTCTTGTTTCTAACGTGTGTCTTGGAATTGAGAGCAATGAATAATATTTATTTTGGAAAATGTCATTTTGTTTTGTTTTACTAATGTAAAGTAACATGGGTAAATTTTTTTTATTTGTTGCCAATAACAGGCACATCACCATTTGCTTCAATTTCTCTTTAAATTGTAGAACGTAAGGCCAGTCAGCATGACTATGCTGTTTTCCATATTAAAGCACATTCACCTAGAGGGGAAAGTGTCTTTCTCTACACTCTTCTCACTTTCTAAAATAATAAAAGCAAATTGCAGTTGTCAAAAAACATTCTGACTTTCCAGGAGAGGGGCTGAGAAAGGTTTGCAGCCACACGGTTTCGGCTCTGCACCTGCACAGGACACGGGGAGGGCGGCGAGGAAGCCCAGCCACCAGCACCTCCACCCTTTCCTGTGCCCCACCTCCAGCCTGAGTGCCCTGAAACACAAAACGTGTCGCTTGCTTTTTAAATTTCCAGTCACCCAGACTCCCAGCACATCCTGCCCGCTGGAAGCCTGGGCAGGACGTTCCACCAGCGAGGAAAGGCAGAGAGCAGATCTCATGAACACCCATGCCCTGCACCGCCGAAGCCCAACGCGTCCTGGCACCTGACTGAAAGCTGAAGGTCTGGGCGGGAGGAGAGCAAGTTATTGGCTGATGCAAATGAGGGCAGCTGAGCGGCACAGCTCACAAGGTCACTTTGGGTGGGAGCATAAAGGAGGACCACCTCCAAAGGGGGCCACCTTCGCCACAGTGTGTAGCATCGCCCATGAGGCAGACCAGAGGCTCCAGTGAGTCACTAAGGGCTGGGAGTAAAACCCTAGGAGATAGGATGAGGCAGGTTAAATGACAAACTCTGAGCAGGGATTTTCCTGCACCCCATCTCACCTGCAGTGCTTGTGCTCCATATCACCTGCTCCCAGAGAGCTCTGGGGACCCTGCACCCAGAGACTGGCACCTGGTGTTCTCCAGGATGCCCCACAGGAAAGCGGTGGGCCTGGGTGGGTTCCCACCTGACAGCCGTGTCTGCCTTTTCTACGGCTCAGCCCACGACACCTGCCTGCAGCCCACACACAGCTACGGCCAGGCCGGCGGCAAGTCCTTTTCGCTTTTCGACACTAGTCACACTGGCCCTCAGCCTACTCACCCACAACCCCAGGCCTGAGGGAGTGAGGGGCAGTGAGGAGGCTGCGGGGGGGTCAGTCTGTGGAGAGGGCAGCTTGGGCAGAGTAGGTGGGGTAGGGAAGAAACTGCCGGCCCGAGGATTAGGAAGTTGGGCAGTTTAGCCGGGAGGCTATCCATTTCTGCATGAGACTCTGCAAGATTTTGTCCTCAGGGAGTCCAAGGCTAATAGGGGAGGCTCCTTCCTCCCGCTAGGAAATGTTCCTGTGCTTCAGGGAAAATCCCTATAATCTCTACAAACACAGGTTCAGCGATGGGGAAGTGGCCCTCAGGCTTTCTCCTAGGCTGATAGAGAGAGAAAGCACGAGTCGGGGAAGACCTCCCCATGCTCAGGAGACACTGTACCCACCCCAAAGGACCCATACGCTGGAGAGGCGATGGGACATGGTGCTTAGCTTTAGCTTTCTCCCAGCCTGGTGGGAGACACAACGGAAGACTCCCTGGTGTCTGCATCGGGAGTCTTCCGAATTGACAAGGAAATCACAGACTCTGCCTTGCAGGAGACCCTATCCAGAGAAAGGAGTGTGGCTCTCGCATAGGGAAGTCAGTCCAGTCCAATGCCCACCCAGCCGGGGGACTCCTGCCTACCACAGAGCACTGGCCGCCAGGTTTAATGACCAACACCCATCAGTATGTTTGTGCTGGGTGGGGGTAGGTTGGGAAACTCCTTCCAGGAGGTGGTTCTTGGGCAAGTTTTAAAGATAAGAAGGGATCAGACTAGTGGGGATGGACAGGAACGTGCCTTAGGTTGTTAGGGAAACATGCCCGTGACCCGTAAAGGGACATAGGAGAGGGACCGTGAGACAGAGGAGTAAGTGAGGGAGTAAGGTGGAGAGGACAGTTTCCAAGAGAGAGCCTGGTGGTGAGGGGAGCGGAAAGGAAAAGGCTCTATCGGCCAGCACCTGGGCAGAGATCAGCCCCTAGACCCCTCACCCAAACGGACACCCTAACCTAGAGAAGACCTGCCAGACCCAAGGAGGCAGGACAGCCACCGGTCCACAATTCCCACCTTTCAGAAAGTCTGTTCTTTCTGAAGCACATCTGTACCCAAGAAGCCCCCCATGCCCCCACCAGAGACACAAACTCCCTAGATCCCCAGGGAAATAGATTTCTGTGCCCACCATAATCCCCAGAAATAAGAACCGTCTCAGCTGGGTATGGGACACAGAGACTAAGAGGGGCATGCGCCGGGTTTCATTTTGTGCCAAACAGCTTTAAATGAGGAGGGGAAGCAGTTTAACTGAATTTCGAAAATCTTTATTAACTAAATTGTGATCATGTCAGAGTAATTAATTCACTTCATAATCAATCATTACACTGTTTCTCTGTAAGTGGAAGTGCAGTTTGTTTCAACAGTTACCTAGTGATATGATAGATGAAGCACCGGCTTACACATAGATGAACACACAGAAATTAGGAGAAAATTGATCCCAGCCCAGAACCTACTATGTTGTTGAATAGGAAAGGAAATGGGGTTTTCTACAAGTCAGAGGGAACCAAGAAGGTATTGCGCTGCAAGCTGCCTTTCAGTGCTCTCTCTAATGTGCCTTAACAATGTTATCTTCTGTGCTCAGGATACACACGATCCTGCCACTAACTACGTTAGAATCAAAAAGCGTAGCGTTAAAAAGCGTTCTGCCGGCAAACACCCCACTGCAAACCCGCTCTCCCCGTAGGTCTTTCTCACTAATTTTGAGACATCGAAGGATGTGGTTGCTGAGTAAGCGCTAACAGGAAACAAGCCCTCTTCTCCTCCCATCACCCCCCCAGCATCGTCACTCCCCAATGCAGGGGAACTTCAAGTAGAGGAAAGCGCCCTCTCGGATGCCGTAATTGGCCATGGTCTTCCCATCTTTCAGCTTCTTGCCGTTGCAAATCACAACCTGCCTGCCGGGGCTCACAGCAGTCTTGGTTTCGATCATCTTTTTCACTTCGGCCACTGAGCTTGATCTTCGCACCTGGAGGAGATGCTTTTGCCCCTCAGAACCTGACTCCACCAGAAACACGGACAGCTCCTCATCGCTGGGCTTCACCACCCTCAGGGTGAGGTGGATGGTGGTCTCCTTGTCAATGCAGTAAGATGACAGCTTTCTCAGAGGCTTTAGGGTCTGCGCGCCCAGCTGAAGGACCTGTTCCTGCACAGGAACCTTGGTCTTGGATCGCACATGTTCATGAATCTTCTTCACTCTGTCGTCCAAGCTGGCAGTGAAGGTCATGGGCTCCCATTTGTCAGAGCGGACATTCACCTGGACAATGAAGGCCAACAGACAGTTGCCAAGAACTCCCGCCACGTTCTACACTCCTCATTCCCCCCCTAATTTCTTCTGCCCTTCACTGCCTGTCTGGTGCCCCAGCTCCTTCATAACAAGCTGTGTCTTTCCCTTTCTTGAAATGTCTCCTTTGGAATTCCCAGGTTATAACACACACAAAAATCAGTCTTATTCCTTATAATCATACCTCTTATCCATCCCAAAATTGTCATTAATAATTTCCCACCATATTTACCTGCTTCCTATCCAGATAAAGTTTGTCAAATGTCAAAAGCTAAATACAGCCCTGGCCGGGTGGCTCAGTCGGTTGGGGCACCGTCCCGTTTCCAAAAGGTCGCAGGTTCAATCCCACTTGGGACACACACAGGAGGCAACCGATCAATGTTTCTCTCTCTGCTCCACTTCCTCTCTCTTTAAAATCAATTTTAAGAAACATATCCTCAGGTGAGGATTCTAAAAAGCCACAATACTGCTACAAAGCACCCAAAGGTGTAACCAGGCTCTGAAAACAACTCCCAACCAGAGTTTTCAAGATTTGGCAGAGTAATGGGTACCCACGGGGCTCCACGACTACTTCAGGAGGAAGCCCTGGTCAGGACACCTTCTCTGTACTGTTTGTTTCTTTTTAGATGTCTTATTGCTTTATAATAACAGCACACGACACTATAAGAATAGTAACAGGACAGTGTCACTACACTCGATGTTACTGCCCAGCTGCGTTTCCTGTGCTGCTCTGTCTGTTGCAGAATAGGACCTGTCCCCTCATCACAACAGGGTCTCGCCCACAGGAGGCAGGGGCTGAGTCTCACTTCAGTGTCGGATGGGGGAAGCCGCCCGTGCGGCACCTGAGAGCCAGGCAGACGTCCCCCATCCCTGTTCATAAGCTGTCTTCCCAACTGCGCCGTCACAGGCGTTCCCTCCCGGTGCTGTGCCTCCCCGGTAACACCCCCTCCTCTCAGCCCCCTGGTGCCCGGGCTGTCAGTCCCAGTCCTCTCTGTAGGGTGTCTGTTCCTACATCAGGTAGTGTCTCGGGGCATCAACAACTCAGGGTAAGTGAATTTGGGAACCTCTCTTTTGGGAAGAGAAGGAAACTCCAGTTTGAGGGTCCTGGACCCCTAAACAGGAGAAGGAAACAAGGGCTCCCACAGTAGTCCTATAGTTTTAAGTTCCTCCAGCCCTGCTGAGCACAGAGCCCAAGCCCACTCCTTCCCCTTTGACCCTAACAGCGGCCAGCCCAAGGCCTGGCACAGAAGGAAACCCAGGAGCCAAGTAACCAGGTTTCTTCACAGAACCCCCTTCGCATTCCCGCTTCGGGGCCTTCCGGGCCACCCGGTCTCCCTGAGCTCTGGCCTCCTCTGTCCTCGACGCCCGTCTCCTAGGAGTGCTCCCTTCCCACCCCCGCTATCACCCCAACTTACACTGAGGCAGGAAGCATTGGGCGCCATCTCTGCGATGAAGGAGCAGCAGCAACGAGGCTGAGAAGGCAGGAGGCTGTGGTGGGCCAGCAGCTTATGTGGGAGCAGCAGCTTGGAAAGCCCCGGCCCAGCCCTGGGCCTTTGTTCTCAAGCTTGCCCGAAGCTGCTTTCGCTTTCGCTTGTGCCAGCTGATCAGAGAACGTTCTGATGAAGGGCCTCTCCCCTCAGCTGACCTGTTGCCCTCCTTGTTCCAAACATGGGACGGTCCTTCTCGGTTGAGAATTTTTGCTGATTAACCACCCACCACTCCCAGTCCTGACTAATGACTGTCCAGTCTGTGGCCCTGGGCCCTCCATGGCTACAGGACCTTGAATACGTGGTGCCCTCCGCTGCTGCTTTAAGGGCCCCCCGCCTCCCCAGTCAGGGGCCACGCTGAGAGCAAGGGCACCCGGGAGGGGCCTCAGAGCTGGGTGGAGTGAGGGGCCTGTGCACACTGTCCCCGTGGGTGCGCCAGGCAGCCTGGGGAAGACACGGGCCAGGTGACCCTGCAGCAGTCCTGGGTGCCACTGCCCCATTACCTGCGGCAAATCTGTTCATCTCCTTGGATATTGGTTTTTGGGTCTATAAAATGGGATGATTGGAGAGGATTCCTCAGTGTCTTCCAGGCTCAGAAAACTTTGTAAAATGTCCTTTCTTGAGCAAATACTCTGCCTCTCCTGTCCCAGAACCTGCAAACCAAATGCACTACTTGAGAACAACCCAAAGCCGACAATCGAGTGCCGACTCCGACCTTCCACACACGGGAACCATCCCATGTCCCCCTGAGGATGCAGTGGCCCCATCCCCACCCTTACTCCCGGGCGCCCCCACCCGCTGCCTGGGAGACACCCAACACGCTGCCTCTCCCTGGCTCTTGAGACTTGAATTGGGCCAAAAAACAAGCGCATGAGCTCTCTCCCTTCAGGGGACTTAGCCATTCTGGTCCTCCTAGCGTCCCCAATTATTCACTCCCGGTCCCAAGCTCTCAGGACACTGCACAGAACCCACCCGGAAAGAAAAAAGCATTTGTGCTTCAGAGTTTTCCAGAGTCAGAAGGCTGTAAAAATGCCCAGCTGTCGTCTTTCTTCGTGTGCTTCCAGTGGCCATCACCGTCCTTCATTCACTGGTGGCTCTCACACGGTCGCATTTTATTTCAGGGCTTTTCATCGGGAGGACCGGGATTTACAGGATCCAAGAGCTCATGCCAGTGTTTCAAAAAGCTCAACGTAAACCACGCTCTTCAATCCGAAGCTCTTATTAGAGGGTCATTAATAAAACCAGAGAAACTAATTATGATTTAACTGTCTTTCGTGCGTCAGGCATATCTTCAAACACACAGGGTGAGTGTCGGGGGCAGGTGTAAACCTTGATCTGCGGTTCTCCTTTCAGGTGTCTCCCGCTTCCTAGTGTCCCCTGTGTGGGGGCCAATACCGTGACCTTTGGCTTCTGCACCCGGTGTCCACTAGGTCGTGGGTATTCTGAACACGCCAGCGGTGGGCAGGGGCATCAGATGGTGGGAGAGGGAGAGAGAGCTGCAGCGGGCCGGGCGGGCGGGAAGGGACAGCTGCCCAGCGCCCCCGGAGCTGAGGTCACGGCTCAGATGTTATCTGCACCCCGGCCTTTTAGGGCCTCTCGTCATTTCTGGGAAATGGAGGAAGAAATGTTTAAAGCTGCTTGAAGTGAAATCCCCTTCTCACTCCTGTCCCTTCTCTGCCATCTCTGCCTCAGTAGCCTGCACCATGGTGGTGCCCATGTCCTCATATCAGGGAAGCAGAGACCTCAGCCAGCAGCTCCCGGAGGGGCAGCCCAGGAGGACAGTTCCCAGGAATGACACCTGTCCGCTGGTGCCCCTCAGATCTGTACCTAACGGCCCGGACCTGAGCTGCAGTCTGTATGTCTAGCTGCTTCCACACACAGTTCCCTGAAGTCCCCGCATGCCCCTGAACATGCCAAGCTCTCTGCCCCCAGGTTATTGAGCATGCCTACGCCTCCAGCACCACCCCCAGCACCAGGAATGCCGAAGAGTGTGCGCTGTAAGCAGCATCTCCTCCAGGAAGCCCTCCCTAACTTCCTCTTTCCTGTTTCGGGTTATGTGCCCATGTCTGTCCTTTCACGCCCTC